TGTGTGTGTGTGTGTGTGTGTGGCCAGCTCAGCCCACCAGGGCGCGGGGCTGGCTGGCATGTGGTGCTGGGGGATTGAACCACGGTCCCTGTGCTTTGTTTAGCTTAGCTTGTTCTAAGTAGGTGCTTTAGACCACTGAGCCATCTCACCAGCCCCACTGAGCCATCTCACCAGCCTGGTAATATTTCATTAATACAAAAATTATTAGACTTGCTCCATCTCTTATTTTATAAAGTCTCTGAAATTCAGATCATATCTGACATTCACAGTAAACTCACAGTCTCAGTACTAGGTAGTTATACGTGACTTGTTGCTAATGTGCTGGGCACTGTGCTGTGAGTTATGAAAGCAGCAGGATTTCTGCAGTGAAGTCCAGATTTAAGGAAACCTGTGATAATGTTGCCGCCATCTCCGCCCTTTGCCACAGGAGGAGGAAAAGCTCAAAAATTAGTGAGCTTCCTCCAGTAAAGCTACCAAACATGGACTGCACCAATGGTGAAAATGGAAATTTTACATAGGGCTCTGTATAGTATTTTACTTTGTTAGGTTCACACTAAATTTACGATTTGAAAACTCAACAATACTGTCTTTTTTTTAAAAAAATGTATTTGGTACAGGGTCTACAGGGTCTATACCGTTTCACCACATAGATCGGACTTGTAGTGATCCTCCTGTTTTCAGCCTCCCAAGCGCTGGGATTACAGGCACATGCCACCACACCCAGTCTCAATTGCCATTGTAGCTTCCCCAGAGATGGGGCCAGCAGGGCATGCCAAGTGCTGTCATTTGTCTGGTTTTCTCCTTGAGGCTGTTGAAGTCTATTATTTCAGCATTCATTGTCCAACGTAGTGAGATTCACCGGGCAAAAGTTGGCATCCTGACACACTGCCAGGTCATTCTTTTCTGTTCGGAGCCACAGAGGCTGGAAATTGGTCAAATATGTGAAAGGAGGACTAAGCCTCAGTGCCTAGAGTCAAGCTACCTCAGTCCTGAGAAAAACATCCTGCTTGGTCAATGTTAGCTATTAGTCATTGGGCAACCTTGTGTCCTGTGATACTAACTTTGCAAAAATATAATTAAATGCCCCTACTGTTGTTCTTGGGGCCTTTTGCCAATGAGGTAAGTGGGCCACCACCTGACCCAGCTCTTGTCTCCTTGTCTATCTTTCTCTCATTTCTGCTGCTGTTCCTCCCCAGGGTACAACAGACCACACTGAGACCAGTGGATCCCTATACTTCTCAGTTTTGTTACTCTATGCTCACAGTATTAAATCTTATTTTAGTGTTGGCCTAAGCAAGAAAACAAGCAAACAAACAAGCAAAAACCACTAAAACCCATTAAGGAGACAAACCTACTATCAAGACCTCTAATACATTCTAACCAAATATTACTATTCAGAGATTATTTGCAGCTATGAATTACAGTACTGCTTCTCCCTGCTGGTGGGACTATGAAAACTGAACTTTGTCACTCAACCAGTCCATCCATCCATCCATCCATCCATCCATCCATCCATCCATCCCTTCATCCATTCATCTATCCATCCCTCCATCCCCTTGAAATAGAAATTTGGGCTCATAATAATAACTTACTCCAGTTCTGAAAAATATGTCTGCTTTTCAGATTTATAGGTGTCCAGTTGTGCTCTTTTGAGTACCACTTGCAGCTCTCATCAGGTTAGTTTGGACAGGTGGTCATGGAGGGAGAAATGGGAGTTAGAGTCAGGAACTGAGGCCCTGACAGATGATAGACCTTGATCTAGTGCAGCAAGAGATGCTTTGTAAGAGTCTATGGACTTTATTTGGAGTTCAGTTCTTTTGCTGGTCTTATATTCATGAGTTATTCCATCTACTTGCTTTAGGTTTCAGTTCCCAGTGCCCATCATGAGCCCTTCCATTTTTTTCCTCTGTCTCACTCATGTGCAGTAACTTTGGTGGACTCTTATTAGTTCTACAATATACATTGCATTTTCTAAACAATCATATTACATGTGTATAGTGACTGTTTTGTTTCTTTTTAATTCTTTTACTTTTAATATGCTTAGTTTAAAATGCATGCAATTAAACATAATTGTTAAAAGTATTCAATTAAAATCAAGTATAAAAAATTAAATTAAAAAATTTAATGAGGCTGGGGAGATAGTTTGGTGGTCTAAGCACCTACCTGGCAAGCATAAGGACACGGGTTTGATCCCTGGTACTGCATACTGTGCCAGCCCCAGGACCACAGGTGCGTTGAGCAGGCCACCAAGTCTGGGAATGGTGGTGCACTCCTGTAATCCCAGTGCTGGGGAGGCTGAGATAGGGGGATCACTGTGAGTCTGAGTTGTGTAGCAAGAACCTGTACCAAATAAACAGAAGATATAATAATAATAATAATAATAATAATAATAATAATA